AGTATTTCACATCTAATTTTAAAAATTCTACTTGGTTTTATTTTCATTCTGCCTGGTCTGTTTTCTATTCCAAGCTTATTTTGTACTTATATATCAAACAATTGGTAATTCAATTATCTGAAGATTCTGGGAATTTAATTCCGCTTTTCATTTTTCTGTCAATGCTTAAAACAGAGTGGCTTATTTACATACACATTTTCTAATTTTTTTTTTTTATCAGGAACTCATGATTCTTTGAGCTACATACATTTTCATGTGCTTCTGCAAGGCTCTGAGGGTATCACCAATGTGGAACCACTTCATTTCTAGACTTGGGGTTTCTTACTCAATTCAGGGAGCATAAACCTAACTCTGTATCTGTAAGAACTGGGCCTGTAGTTACTGATTTTCGAGAAAGGCATTTTATCTTCTGATTCCCTTACGCTGAGACAAGCAACTTCCTCAACACCTCTGTGTGAGGATCACCCATCAACAGAAACTATAGCCCTGAGAGAGTCCTAACTTAAGTGGGGGATTGCAGTTTCAATTCCTCAGATTGGAAAGGTCCAAGGTCTTATCTTTTGTCTCTAGGAAGCTGTTAAAAGCCAAGTTTCTCAATTAATCTAGGTCAGCAAATATTTCCAGGGTAGCTGTGGCCCCAAAATCCATCCATATCCTGTTGTTTTCCCAAATTTTTCTTTTGTTTTATGGCTCCTGCGTACTTTTCATACTTTCTAATAAACTCAACTATGCATTAAAGACAATGTTATATTTTTGTTCTAGCGTTTCCAAGTGTAGAGTAGTAGCAGAATTATCTACTCTACCAGGCTTTGGAAATGGAATAAAATTGACATTTTAAATACATTTTGAAGGAGATTTTTATGCATAGTAAGGTTTGAGAGCCACAATGCACTGCCTCCCATAGATCTCCTGAGAAAATCTGTTTATATAGTGCTATGTCTTTATTATCTCCACTAAAACATGGTGGAAACTGTAATTAGGTAAGATAGCTTCACATATTTTTTTTTTTCCATCAGTCCAGCGTCCTGCTACTCAAGGTGGAGTCAAGTGTTAACTAATCTACTTTAAGTCATGGATAGACAAATAAAGCTAAAGATTCATCTATATGCTTCCACCTAGGGCTTTATAAAAAGAAGCTAATATTTGTAATCAATACAAATATGAATAATTTGAAATCCTGCTTTTCTTTGAAAAAAAATTTTTATAGAGACAGGGTCTCACTATGTTGCCCAGGCTGGCATCAAAATCCTGAGCTCAAGCAATCCTCCTGCCAAAGTGCTGGGATTATAGGCAGGAGCCACTGTGACTGGCCGAGGTTTTTTTCTTAATATTATGTTGAAAGCAGTTTTCCATGTTTTGCAGTGTCCTCTTAATTATCTTTTTAAAACACAGTGGCATAATATTCTATTCCATGGTTATACATTGAATACCTATTATCTGTTGTAATATGTTGCCATTATATAATGACGTGTTCTTAGAAACCATCATAGAATTATTATAGAATCCAAGATTGGCTAGATGATGTACTGTGATTTAGCAAGTGTGCAGTGGGTCCCATACGTCTCTGTGGTTAGAACATTTTTGGACAATTCTGAAGCCCACCCATGATTGTGAACCACAGATTTAAAAGATTGTTACAAAGTAGAGACAGATCTTTAATATTGTCATAATGAATGGTATTCCATGATGATTAAGAGTGCAGGCCTTTAAACCATATGGCATGAACTGAAATCTTGGGCTCCATCTCTAAAAGGGTGTGAGACTCAGGCTAAGCTTCTTAATTTCTCTAGTTTTCAAATTCCTCATTTATAAAATGAGGATCACAGAACCTGCATCAGTGGATTATTATGATGATTAAATGAGATGACGTAAGTATGCACAGCAAGATATTCTTATAATCATTCTGTTGGGTGGAAGGGGACCTAAGGGCAAAAAGCATTGTCTGTGAAAGTCTGCATGTACTTTCTAGCCCATGTTCATGGGACCCCAGGGAGGTAAAGGTAGGCTGGAGACTTTTTATTTGGAATCCACCTGGAGGGTGGGGAGAAAAGATTTAGACTGTAGGGTAGCCTCCAGCTTCACCTCTGGACCTGAAGATGGGTTGAAAAACAACTTGTCTGTGGAGGAGGCAGTGGAACACATGTGGGGACCTTGGTGTTTCTGTGTGTTCCCCTTACCTTATCCAGGCGAATTGCCAGTATGTGAGTTTGTGAGGCCAAGACTCCAGAATGGAATAGTGAGAGTCACCCCACTACACAATCTTCAGACTGAGACCACTGGTTTAGAAGAAGCCATCAGAGATTTGTTTTGGATTGAACAGTGGTCCCAGAAATAATCATGTGTTAGGGAAGAGTGGAGGGCAGGAAAATGAGAATGGCCAACAGAGGAAGGTCACCAAGCCAGAACTGACAAAACAAAATGTAAAATTCAGACAATTCTTAAATTCAAGAAGCATAGAGATCTCCTCATAATTTCTAAGAGTTAACCTTCCCAGTTATTATCTGTGCTAGAAGTTTCCTCTAATGAGTAGCTTTCTCCACTTTATAGTGGTAACTTTGAACACATACAGTGGATTTAGAGGCCTACGATTTTACAAAGTAATATTTTAGGACAAAATATACAACTTCTGAACTAGTTGCAACAAAAATTACCTGAAAGTCTAGATTGTGGTTACATATGGGAGGGAGTTTTGTCTGCTTGTCTAGAGCAGTACCTGACACAGTGCTCAATCAATATTTGTTCGATGTATTGCCTTCTCTCTTTTGGCTTCAATCACCAATGGTGAGCTTCATGCTTAATCTGCAAATGTATGGAAGAGGAGGAAAGAAAATGCAGTAGAGCCTATTCAACCCTTTTGACCATCAATACAGTTTCACCTTTTTTCCACCTACTGGAAAACTGAAGGGAGGCTTTCTCTATGTGTTGTGCAACATAAAACATTTCACATCATTTAAAATTGATTAAAAATGCAAGAATAAAAAGAAAACTGAAAGGACATTATACAGATCATTTTAAAAGATAGCTGCTATCAAAAGGCTAAAGTGATATAAGCTATAGCGTGATTCTTAACCATGTTTAAGTCTTTGCCTTTGAAAATCTGATAAAAAGTTACACTCATCTCCCAAGAAAAAATTCAGGTACATACATGTATAAGTCTGTATATAAATTCAGGAGTCTAAAAATCCTCTGAAACCACCAACAGGGATCCATAGACCCCAGGTTACAAAGCCCTTCCATTCAATAAGCAGTTTTTCTCGTGAAAAGCACAAGGTATACTGTACATAGGGGACATAGTTATTTTCCCTAATTAACATATGTGTGCAGTGAATAGCTTAGGGGTCCAATGGAAATCCTAATAAATAATATGAACTGGGTTCTATATGCACACCCAGCTGATTATTGGTGATTTTCTCCCCTGTTGTTTTAAGTAATTGAGTCAGATTAAATTATTTAAAATTAGTACTCCAACTAGATCCTTAGAATGGCAAACCTCCTAAATCAGACAAGTCTATACAAAGGAAAGGGAGATTATGCAAGGATACGTGATATCCTCAAATGGCACAGTAGATCGGATAGTCTTTATTTGACCCCGACAGAAACTTAACATTTAGGATTTTTAAGGAAAGGTACAAAGAGTGAAGACTTTTTTTTTTTTTTTTTTAACCAGTAGTATAAGGGGACAACAAAAAGCTGTTGTTGACCTAAACATTTCAATACATGTCTTCCACTCAACATAAAATGCTCAAGAAAGACAACATATGTGAGAACCATCTTTCAGAAAATGTTTGATTAAAAATAGTTACACTTCTATCAGCTGTGTTTCAAGTCCCTTGCATTTGATGTTTATAACTAAAGAGAAACTAAGAATACTAACTGGTAAGCTATTTGTATTTTACAATCAAAGTCATTCTTGTCAATTTATGTTTTTTTTGCAGAGTGGACCACACAGGAGGATGTGTCACATTAGTTGAGGATGGGAGGGGGTGCTTTCTGGTCATTCTAGAGGAAAATTGGTGAGAGTTTCTGAAGTCCCATGAGGCTACGCCTCTTGTCACCTACCTCTGTGAAACAGAAGGCAGTTTGATTTTTAAAACTTCATGCGCAGCTTTCGGGAAAAAGAGGGAAGTGAGCCTTCTCTGGCACTCCTTGCTGAGTCAAAAACAGGCAGGGACAAGCTTGGCCTAGAGGAAGGTTCCTGTGCTTTTCTGCCAGCCTCTCCCACTAGGCGCTCCATGATGAAATTAGAATGGAAAAAACTTTAAAGGGAAATTTTATAGGCAGTATAGTAGATTATAAAATGTTTAATGACAGGAAACTTTTCTTATGAAAGGACAAGACATAAGAGTTAGTCTGCATACTTACTTTCCCTAGATTTTTCTCTGAATATATATATATATTTTGCTATAAGAGTCAGTATAAACTCTACACTGTGAATAAATATATTTTTTATTTAGGCAGCAAAGAGGAATCAATAGTATCAAAGTGAGCACCAGTTATTCTTCAATGGAGTGCAGTTTTAACCCACGTTTACCCTGAAAAGGAGCCATTGTATACAATGGCAAATTTGGGTTGAAGTTAGTAAAAATTAATTTTCTTGAAAATGCCAGTATTTATAGATGCATTCTTATGTAGTAAAAATATAAAAACATCTTGGGGAATGAAAGTTCAGAGTAGCAGTTTACCCAAGGAGAAGGAAGGAGGACAAAGTGTGGATAGCTGTTTAACTCTTTTATTTGAGAGAGGAGAGAGAACTATCAGAAGCAAATATGGTAAGATGCTAGTATCTACTAAATTTAGGTTGAAGTACATGGTTTCTGTTACATCAATTTTTAAACTATATGCTTGAAACAATTTATAATTTAAAAAAAAATGAAGATTTGCACAGCAAGACAGGAAGCTAAATGGAAATTTTCTTCTTCGCTATGTGAAAGCAGGCAGCGATGGTTCAGTAGCCTGAGTTCTAGAAATAATCTCAACATGGTAAGAGGGTATGTAAGCCAAGACTACACCTATACGAAACAGGGTTTATGCATGGGCCACATTTCCAGTAGAAAATGCAGGATTTGACAATTTCAGTCTTTCTTGGGTTTCCCGCCCGCCGCAGTCTTGGACCATATAATCATGGTGGATATGATGGAGTTGCCCAGGGCGCGCATCAACGCCAGCATGCTAATTCAGTTCATTGACAAGCCTGTCTGCTTCGTAGGGAAGGTGGAAAAGATTCATCCCTCCGGAAAAATGTTTATTCTTTCAGATGGAGAAGGAAAAAATGGAACCATCGAGTTGATGGAACCTCTTGATGAAGAAATATCTGGAATTATGGAAGTGATTGGGAAAGTAACCGCTAAGGCGACCATCATGTGTTCATCTTATGTCCAGTTTAAAGAAGATAACCATCCTTTTGATCTTGGACTTTACAATGAAGCTGTGAAAATTATCCATGAGTTCCCTCAGTTTTATCCTTTAGGGATTGTGCAACATGACTGATCCTGATGGATTTTCATATTATTGCAAATGAGCTATATTAAAGACTATTAAAGGAGGAAAAAAAAAGAAAATGCAGGATTTGAGCAGACTTCTAGAGTTGGTTTTAAAATTTAACATGAGGCATCAAATTTAGACAATCAGTAAGAGAGTAACCCATACATGTTATATTTTTACATGTTCTATAAAGTATAGTTTGGTGTCTACAACCTGGAAACCACAGCCAGCCCCTAAAGCTTTCAAGTTGGCCTCTGACTCTTTCCTGCCAACTCCATATGACCGAGTTTACTCCGAACTACCAGCATTTCCAGGTTCCTCTGCAGGCACCGTAGAGTGATGGTGCTCTCACAAAGGCATGACAGTAAGACAGGGCGTGAGGCTGGAGGGAGAGAGGCTGTAGCTCAGGAAAAGCGGAGCCCATAGCATTTTGCTTTTAGTTAATGCATGTATTTGTTAGTATTGTTGCTTTAAGCCTGAACAAATGCACTTAATGAATATGTGGCAAATGTAAGGCTCAGAAGTATCATTTCTTCCCTGTAAATGTAAATGCCCTCCCTCTGAAGTTCCTGTGGGAATGGATTCTGGATTCTGGGGCTGAGTGTGGGGCACCCTCCATGAGGCCTTTGCCCACCTGAAAGCACCATTCCATAGATCCTCCCGTTGTTCACACACAGTGGACCTAACTCTCCACTTTCACTTTCTCTTCTATAATTGTTTCTAACAGACAGTCAGTAGAACTCCCACATTAGCTTTTAGGTGTGAAGTTATCGTAGAATATAAAATGTTGAAGATACATATTTTCTCTTTTCTATCTTTCTGCTTCGCATCCAGGTACACTAACTCTGATCTTCTAAGATAAATTACACAGACACCATGATCATCATCTTGAAAATAAGAAATACCTACTAATAATCAAGAAACGCACATGTTTATAAAATAATATACTTGGACAATTCTATGTAATCTATGAGAGACAACTTTATAGTAGAAAAGGACACAAACGGGTAAGGTTAAGGGTGATTCCTTGTTGCATCCACATCAGTGGTTCTCAAACACGGGGGATTCTCCGCCCCCGGGGACATTTGTCAATGTGGAGACTTTTTGGATGTCACAATTATAGGGATCCTATTAGCATCTAGTAAGTTAAGGCCAGGGATGCTGCTAAATATTCTATAATGTGTAAGTCTGCTTCCCACAACACAGAATTTTCAAGCCTCAAATGTCAATAATGCCAAGTTTGGGAATCTCTAGATGTAATCCATCCAACTGTTTCCCTTACAGTCTCTGGCAGAGCAGGAGCTTCGTAAAGTACCACAGAAAAGACACATACAATTGTAAATATCTTCCTGATAAGAAAGATGCATGGAGAACAATTTTTTCCTCAGCTTAAATATTAGAGGGAAATCTCATTCAAAATTTTTTGCAAACTTAAAGGTCATCCTGAGCAGAAACAACAAAGGGATATTTGGAGAAGAGCTCTGGAAAAAAAAAAAAACTGGCTGTTGTCTCTTTCTTATTGCTTTCTTTAACTGTTAGGACCAGCAGAACCGTTTCCATTTTCAGTTAACAATAACAAGCTAAGGGGAACAATGACAGCTTGTACAGGCAGATTCTCTAACCTCTAAGTTCCTCCTCTTCTTACAAGTTGATTAAATGCTTAATAAATGGATACTAAATTAGTGAATAGAAAATATATAATATGGTGAAATAATGTGGCTGTAGGTGAACCTGCTTTATTAGTCATTTACATATCTATATTTCCCAGTAAGTACTAAACTCTTTGATATAGAAACTCATTCTACAAGAACATCTAATACCTGTTAAGTTGTTTCATTTGCAAATTATTTTGTGACTGAGGCAACAATATGTTCTTGAGCAGATGATTACCTCTACATGAGAAAGATGAATGAAGACTGGGAGTAAACGGATGTATAAAGTTTTTTCTTAGCCAATAAATTTATAAGAAAGTTAATGCCATGCATTTGTTAGCAAATTGTTACTTAGTCACAAAATACTGAAACAATCTAAGTAAACAGTTCATGAAAATACCATAATTTATATTTTTTGTGCCAAGCCAGTCAGAAAAAACTCCCAGTTTTTCACTTAAATTCTTTAGTCATTATAGTCAGTGTCAATGCTGATAACGTCTGTCTTTCAATCTCCTTCTCACAAATATACACATACATAAACACACAATATTTATACATATGACACACAGACACATGTGTTAAAAAGGTAAATTCTGGGCCTGGCTCCCCAATACCTGAGTACCCACTGACCCCTGAGCCTCTATCTCCCTTGTTTTCAAGAGTTATCATTCACCATGCCCTTTTACAACATTGTCCTCCCATAATTTGTTCCTTATCTTCCTGCTCCCGGCACCCCAAATGCACACATTCTAGCTGAGAGGTTCACTGGCCTGCTGTAGGATGCAGAGCCACTTGTCTTGTGAGAAAGGCCAGTTATAATTCCTCTCTCTGAGTCTGTTTGGGTTCACAGGCATTAAACCTTTGACCTTGTGGGATTTTTATGAAATTAAAAGAGATAATGTTATGTTAAGCACTTGGCAAGTCTTTGGTGTTTAATAAGTGCAAATTAGTTCTTTATTGCTGCTCCTCATTCCTCATCAAGGTTCTAAAGGACTTGAGGCCATAAGTCCACGGTCTGCTTCTTTGGACTAAAGCCATCATATTTATCTACCTAATCATCCTTAATAGAAAAAACATCTTTCATTCCACAATTGGAGCTAAGTGACTTAAAATGCAAATATGACTAGTAGGATCCATACTAAATAATATGGGTTAGGTTCACTTGAAAGGTAAAGACTGACATCATGGTATTTTGTCTTTTATTTGGGAATAAGAATAAGAAATGTGACAGGCCTGGGCCTAGAGGTCGGATAAGAGGAAAAGGAAGAAACAAAATGCAAGGCTGGCAAAACCAAAGACAGATTTCTTTACATCACACCTTTGCTGAAGTCCTGCTACTTACAGAAACAAACCAACAGAGACTGAGTCCAAAAGTATGTTACATCCCAAGGGGCACAGACACACATAGCGAGAACTGTTTTGTTCAAGCCTTGAATTACTGACCAAATAATAACTTTTATAAAAGACTAAATTATAATTGTTGACTGGGTTTATCTGCAAAATGATTCAGTTTATTATCAGTCAATCTAGGAAACATAGTACCATATTATGAAATTAAAAGTCTCATATTAACTTAGAGAAAAATATTCTCAAATCAACAAATAAACAAAAAGCCTGAACATGGTTTGACCAAGCACACCACTAGCATGTCAGTAGCAGTTCATTCTAAGAGGGCCACACATCTGCTCAGGCCAAGGCCCTGGGGTACTTATAGATTCTCTGTGGAACATGTATACATTTTCTCATTTAATCTCTAAAAGACCTTATGAAGTATATGCTATTAATATTTTTGCATTTTATACATTAGGAGACTGAAGTTTAGAAGTATTGTATAAACCTACTCAAAGCCACACAGCTAATAACAAAGTCTGGATTGGAAATCATAATCTTAAGTAATATACTATATAATCCATACACTCAGACATCTGTTTGGTTTTTCACTAAATCTCCAAAGAGTCAAAATCAACTGTTTCTTTCAAAGATTTACTAAAGTTTTAGGAAGTATGTAATTTTAAAAAACCTTTAAGATGATCAAGAAATAGTAAAAGTTTGTTAACTAATGTTGAAGACATTTCTATTAAATGGAAATGTTAATGAAATTTCTGTCAGTTCTATTGCTAGCAGACAAATTTCTATTTAAAGATTTTAATAATCATGTGAACATTTCAGCTTAGGGACAAAGGCAACCTGTATTCATTTAAAGCAATTCCTTGGAAATCTTAGGAAATCAAATTTCCAGAGTTCACACAGAAGGAGAGCTACCACACACTTACTTTGACCTGAGGGTAAGACTTCTTGTTCTTTTCGCTAGAGGCACCAGGTAGTCCACCATGGGATGGGCCTTCACATACGTAACGGAAACGAAATCCTCTCTGCAAAGGTGAATGTTAAGCCAATTAAGTTTGAGAAATACTTAATAAAAATTATAGCAACAAAGATACGTACAAAATTTTAAATCTTATGTCTACTAAACAAGAGAAGAAAAACATGAAACTGTGAAAGAGGGCTCTGTAAATGAGAATCACTTTTCCCATAATCTTACTATGAAAAATGGTATTAATTGATATTTGTACACTAAGATGTGGCTAAAAAGCCTGCAGAATGTCTGCTGAAGAGTTTAGGCTTCAGACTCAACATGTCACAGCTTGTTCTAATCAGAGCTTCCTTGTTTTAAATTGCTGCTGCCAAGCTCTGAACTTTACCATATTAATAAAAGTTATGCTTCCTTGACTCTTACTTGAAGAAATTCCTTTATCTACTCTGATTACAGTTGGTTTCAGGAGGGACTACAGAAATGTTTGTTTAAATATATTGCTTCAGCGTTGTAGAACACACCCTATGCTAGACCCTGAATCTGTTGAGCTTTTCAGCAGTTCAGAGGATATTTGTTATTATGATTATTGATACGGTCAAGCTCAAGATTGAATATTAACCTACCAGAATGATGCCAAAACTAGATAGTTCCCTCAAATACTATCTGACCCAGAAGTGTTATAGAGGTAGTTAATTAATGAAGAGTTAGCTGGAAGCCTTCACCATATAAACTACTGTGGGCTGATAAACACCTAAGAAGTGCCATGTTTTTTTCATTTGTACAAAAGGGAAAATTATACCAGACCATCTTTAAGGTCTACTCCAGCTGTAACTTTTTATGATTTATAAAGCTAACTTAATTATTCATATTTGTAAACAAAGAATAAAACAAGGATAATTATGCAAATGGACCTCACCATCATATTAAGGGAGGTTTCACTGTATTTCCTGAAAGATTCAATTTTATAACGATATCAATCAATTTGTGGAAGTGTTAGTAGTTTATAACCATACAGTTGCTTAAGCAGATGATTTTTTGTTCAGGTTCACTTTTTGGTGAAAAGAAAATATGTTAAGATATTTTAAGGAACATCCTCACCTTTTGTT